AATGGTTGACCTTGGGCATAGCACTGCTGCGCAGGCGCCTCAGGCTTTGCTGCGCTGCTTAGAGGGATGAAAGGGCGAAAAGTCCCCTTGACCGGGAGCACGAATCATGAGAAGTGGGTTGGGTTGTGTCAAGGCTGCGAATCCGCAAGGTTGGGTCCGTTACGGCCGGCTAAGGTAGTGGGAATGGCAATGGATATCGAGTTTGGTTCCGTTGCGGAGATGCTATGCTGTTGGTTGGGCACACGATGGATTATTTTCACTGGAATTATCCAGCCGGTGCTGATGCTGGCTGATGAACGGATCGAAGGTGAACGATATCGATGACGGTGGATGTTGGGGGCTGCCAGCGCCTGCCAAATCCGATAGACGGGCATCCCACGGCGAGAAAATTTTCTCAAAAACCATTCCCTCAGGCACAGCGCGCTAGAGAAGAAGTCAGCTTTGATATCAAACCGGCCATGGCTTGTGGTGACCCCCACTCAACACCCTCAAAGGCCCCCACTTTGCGGCGGTCGGGTCCAATCAGCCGCAGGCCAGCACTCACACGTGGGTGGACCCGACAAAATAGCTCAAGCAAAAGCGACCCTAAGACGCCAGAAGAAAGTGGGCACGATGACCCAGCTTGGATCCGGTTCCAGAGATAAAAAGGGACGCGGTGAGACGGATCGCGGGTTGGTGGCCGTGGCGAGCGATGGTCCTCCGTTCTGTTTTCCCTCTTCACTTCTTCGCGCTGTCCCTCCCTCCCGTCCACCCTGTGTCGCCATTCTTTCCAACCGCCGCTTATCAGACTTTTCGCCGGGCCGCACCACGGGCGAGATGGGATGAAGTCAATCGAAGCACGCCGGGCGCATAGACCTAGCGCTGTCAGGGACGCTTGTCGGCGACTGCACCCGAACACTCACACCCCCTTCCAGACGTCGCCCCCTACCGCATAAACAGTAGACCAGTGTTACGTGAGATCCCGGCAGAAATCCAGAAACCTGGCTGGCGTGCGCTGGCAGAGAGGCAACAGTGAGGTGCTGGCAGCTGCCGGCTCGGAAAAACTGCCAATGGGAGATGCCATCGCTCCATTAAGCCGACGTCCGAGGCTCCAGTGTCTGAGATGGCCGAGATGGGTGCGACGCCGTCCAGCGTGGCCGTATTGCAGGGTCCACAAAAGCGCTATCTGCGAGATTGATTCAGCGTCAAACGCAAATCTAGCGTTGTGTCAATCCCAGTGCTTGGTACCACCAACGCAATGCAGCCCTTTCACAGGCTTGGCCTGCAGAACGTACACACCTCATCACTGCCGTCCGTAATGTGCCGGGTCAGTCCTGTCTCGGAGGTCCAGGTACCATTACGGTTCGAGGTACCTGAAATGCCCGGCGGAAGAAAATTTTGCGGCCAAGCCGTTCAATGCCAATGGGCCACTGATGGCTGCTCGTAACGCTGACAGCAGTGCCACGGGTACGCTGACGGTCGCTGAAGAAGAAATGCCGGCACAACGTTGGCGCTCCTGGGTGGGCGATCGCCGTTGTCTCTCTGTCCTCTGTCTCTCGGTGCGTGCCTGAGGCGTAAGAGCCTCAAAAAAATGACGCATTACTGGCGGACGTCTGCATCAGCCACTAGAATGCACCGCCAATCGTGTTGAGACCTGGACGCCAGCGGTTGAGTCGGAGCTTGCTTGTGCTTCCGAGTCGGTGTCTGACTTCTGCATTCTGATCGTATCTTAAATTGGGTGCAGCTGGTGTCGCAAGAGAAAAGCAACTGTGCTTGCTGACGCTATCGAGCCAATTGAACGGGAGATTCGACGACACCTGTTCAAGCCACAGTGGTCAGAATGTCAGACGGAATTGATTGAGGTGCCCATTGTGACGGTTGGGATGACGAGAACGACGGATGCCAGTCCGTCCGAGCTTATTGCGAAATTTTCTTCCCTTTGTTCGACCTTAGGTCCGAGCTCCTTGTCCCTTCCTTCCGTTGTGGTTGGGTTGGTTGGTTCCTTCCCGGCGGCGTCCCTTCCATTCCCGTCTCGACGAAAAAAAATCAGGGCCAGGCACGTTCAGCCTTGCAACCCAGGCAGGCGCCGCCAGACGGGACGTCGTTGCCTTAGGCTCGAGCTTAATTCCGGTGTGGCTGCATCGTCAACCGAAACACCCGATGACGCCCAGCCTTTTTGGACCTGCGCCAACGGGCAGGAACGGGACTGTGAGACGCCACGCCCAGATGGTGCATTCGCCAATTCGAATCCCAGCGTCCTTCCGGAATGATAAATGAGTCTCAACCAACGGGAATAGCAACCTTGCAAGCATCCAGGAAGCTGCAGGCCACCCTGTCAGAAAAGTTTTCTATTCCCAGGAAGATTTCAATTGGGAAAGCGTCCAGCAATCAACAATTGGAGAATATCTGCGAAATGTCATCTCCGTTGCCGCTGTTTGCAACCATTCGTAACTCTGCATGGCCCAAGCTCCTTTCCCTTTTCAGCTTCGTCTCTTACTCCCTTCCATCTTCTGGCGTCTTTTGCCTCCAAGACCTCCCGTTTGGTTGCATTATGTTCTTTCTTTCATGGGTGAGAGGACTTGAATGAAACTTGGCATCTCGAGCATGGTATGCCAAGAGAAGTTTTAGGGACTTATCTTGCAGACACAAACTCGAACCTACCCAGCTCAGGGTCGCGTGCCATCTCATGGTCTAACAGCCCGCGCAAGTAAATTCGAGTACAATCTCCCTTGCGATGTTCCGAACAGCAAACTGCGTATTTACTAAACCACCCCGTGGTCTCCCTGCCTTCGGTAGTCTTGTGAGTCCATTTTCTGAGGCCAAATCTAGAATCAGGCACCAACGCAGAAACGAAGCCTGGCTCGGTGAATTGAAACCCATCATCGCGTGGCTCTGGAACAAGATGGATCAAGTCTCTGAACCATCCATCAACGTCCAAGGTACCCTCAACACTCCAAGGGGTGCTGACCGAGTCCGGTGTTCCGGCCGTTTCATCGCTCCCAGGGGTGCGAGCCAAATCGGGTTCGTCATCCTTTCCAATATCCATCTCCTGTGCTTTTACGCTGTAATTCAGATGTATGTAATGACCATGGAAGCGTCTGGAACCTTTGAGCTCCATATCTGAACGTGAGAGAAAGCCAAGATAAGCTTCGCCTTTTACGTTCCAGGGATCACACACAAAGATTGAACTATTGTTCTGAACCCGGTGGCGTAGCACGCTATCAGCTGTTCCCAAGAGAAATGCAGGAAACTTGATTGCTTGGGTATCTCTGTCGCACACGGTAACAGGTAGCCTAGCTGTCAGCGGCTTCACTGGTGTTTCTTTGTAATTCAGCGAGCTTTTTCTAAGCGCAGAGTCTAACCGCTGTAGGTCGTCATATGACCAATTGGGTACCCATTGTGGCTCCTGGCATTCAGAAGGTGGTCTCTGTCGAAGAAGGCGAGTTCTACTGAGTAACGCCGGTAGGCCAAACTTTTGTGCAATCCAAAGTGCGATTGAAGTGTAAACCTCAGCTGTTGTCTTCGTATAATCAGCCACAAGTCCGTCGCTTTCGGGGCAAATCAACAAGCCTAAGAGAGCGAAGATTTTGTCTCGTGGATCTGATGCCTGGCTACCGCGAGTTCTCTCTAGCAGCCTAAGCAGCTCGCTGGGGTCTCTGTATGTCGGTGCGCGGAAGTCCAGAACAGGTGGCAGTCGATCCAGGCCGGGAAGCATCAGTTGGTAGACTGGCTGTTTTTGCCATTCCAACAGTCCTATACGACCCAATCTTATGATCCCCATCAATGACAATGGCATCGAATGTTTTCCACAGATCAACACAGCTCGCCTCGCTAAAGCAACTTCCTGGATCACCCAGACTCTAGAGAAGTATCGTCGGTTGAGAAGCCTACCAAGCACTTTCCGCAGTTGTCGAAGCAGATTGTGGTCCCTAACTACCAGAAACTTTTCCTCGGTGGAAAGAAACGAGAGGAGTTCATCCTCTTCTGGACTTGGTTCGCCAATATAAATGAGCACGTGGTCCGCACGAGTGTAAATCTGCTGCATTAAGCGTACTTGGTGGCCCCTCTCTTGGAAGTCCTCTTGATTAATACAAATAGCATCGATCCAGAGGTTCTTTGGACCAGATCGACTTCTGGCACGCCTCAAAGCTGCTTCGCAGTTCGGCGTCACTGGGAATCTCAGAGAGTTCAGCACAATGGACTTGTTTCGGTCCATACTTCCGTCTTCCCCTGCCCAGGCATAGGATATAGCATCGTATTCGACGAAGCTTGATGTGGTCGTCAACTGGAGACTTCCACGGACCGGATCGTCGTATCCACCGGGTTCCAAGGTGAGTAATCGAATATCTGTGGTGTTTTTGAAGGCCTGATAGATGCTGCAATAAATGTTCTTATTGTCGACCAACGACGCATTCGGTTCATGCTGGACGGAGCCGCAACTCAGGCAACTTGAAATGCCGCTGCTAGTGAACGCATCTAGCCTTTGGCAGGACAAGTCATGCCACTCGGACATGATCGACAGTTTTATAGATTCGGCGTGCTTTGGTGGGTCAAAGTTGTATGTGTTTAGTTTGGGTGTTGCGGCCCTTTTGCCGTCGGAATATCGAGGCTCGAGGCGGGGTCATGCGGGTGAGCTGGATGCCTAGCCAGGCTGATTGGAGGGCTTTTTAGCAAACCCTCCAATCGCAGTCCAACGAGTAATCTAGCTGTGTCACGGCCGATTCCAAGATGTTTAGGCAGGACCAACAGCTTGATTAGGCGCCAGCAGTCAGCACGCCACTTGTGCGCTGAAATATACCGTAAGTTTCCAAAACAACAGGTCGGGCACACGTGACTCTTGTCCGTCCTGGATTGCAATATAAGTCTTTCAGTTCCATCTCAAAATGCAGCTGAGATTATAAAGCCAAAACTATCTAAGTCGCTAATTCAATTACCAATGCCTTTGACTTTGAAATTTGTGGTCAAGGAAGCATCAAAGCATCCGGCGAGGATCCTCCAGCATTAATACACCTCATTATTTCCTACTTAGCACACACAAACGAAAACTCTCCCGTTTTCCAAACGCCATTCTGAGAAGCCCCATCCATGTACAAGAGTCCTCGCAGTTTCTCGGCCCCATCCGAACCATCGGCCGCGCAGATAACTGCGTACTTACTGAACCTACCCTTCGTCGTCCTTCCGTTCACGTTCTCGTGGAGCCATGTGAGTGACTTCCCGTCAGCAAAAACGGACACAGTTCCTGGATGGGTGAACTGGAACTTTCCATATTCATCCGGCTCCGGAAGGAGATAAATGCTGGACTGGTTCCATCGCGCGTAAGCACCCAGCGTCTTGAAAGTGACTGGAAATCCATTCTCGCACTGGGAGTATGCCTCGCTCGCCAGACCCGGAAATTCCCTGTCCTTTCTCAAAAAGACGAATGAGTACGTCTCGGTAGCTCTCCTTCCATCAACATAGTCGCCAAATATCGTAAACAACCATGGCGGGGGAGGACGATGCACATCCCTCGCTCGACCTATGACGTTTTCTGAGAACCACTGATAGGACTCTTCGTCATACTTCATAACTTCGTCAATAATGCGCCCGAGCCTGAACGCGGGAAATCGAATCGCGCTGGAGTCTCTCTGTGACGCCGTAATTGGCAACCCTGCCATCTTGGACACTGAGCGATACTCTCTCCTGAGTCGGGGAATCAACGAGTCCCGGCTCTGAAATGTGTCCTCCGTCCAGTTGGGTATCCATGCTGAATCCAACGCGACTGCCTCGCTCACAGGCGCACGCCGTACAACATCCACAGTCCTCGCAAGCAGAGCCGGCAGGCCGAACCTCTGGGCGATCCACAAAGCAGTCGACGTAAAGACCTCTTTGGGGGATTTGGTGTAGTCTGCGGAGAACCCTTCACTCTCAGGACAAGTGATCAGCCCAAAGACTGCAAAGACCTTATCGCGTGGGTCCGCTGCCCGACTGTTACGGGCTAAATCCAGCAGGCGGAGGAGGTCGCCGGTAGTCCTGAAGGCTGGCGCCTTGAACTGAATTGCTGGAGGCCACGCTTGCAACCCTGGTATGCTCCCGTCCTCTGCCGCCAAGGCTGATAAAAGACCACGGGCGGCTAAGTTGTTGACGTGAACCAAAGACCATGACAACGTGTGGCTTCCGCAAATGAGAGTTGCCTGTCTTGCAAGTGCAACTTCTTGGATAATCCACGCCCGCGAAAAGTACCGGCGACTGAGCAGCCTCGCCAAAGCTCCCTGGATCTCTTCTCGCTTGCCAGGCGTGGTGTTATGCTGAGCCCAGGTGAGATGTTTGAACAAGGCCGGTATATCACTAGTTGCCTCTCCCGCATAGATAATGACTTCTCGCGCGCGCGAGTAAATCTGTGGCATCAAGCTGACCTGCCTTCCTCGTTCGTGAAGGTCATCTTGGTTGACGCAGATAGCGTCAATCCACACTATCCTTGGTTCCCATTCTTGCCGAACCCGCCTTAGCACGGCCTCGCAGTTTGGAGTGACTGGGAAATCTTCCGAAGCGATAGAGACCCGGCCCGACTTGTCAATGATATCGTCGTCGCCTGCCCAGGTGTAAGAGATGGCATCGTACTCCTCATAACCCCGAGTCGTCGTCGTGACAGCAAGGCTGCAACGGACTGCATCGCCAAAAGACCCAGGCCAGACGGTGAGCAAGCGGATCTCGTCCTCTGCCAGGGGCTGGTAGAATATGTTTTCGCTGTCGACCCTATGGCATTCCTCAAGTGAGAATGGATCGAGTTCCAGAGAGCTTTTCAAGTCGTTGTCAGGATCGATGTCGAGCTCCGCCCAGAACTCGTCCCAATCCCCATCATCCATGATGGATCATGGAATTAGTTTGTCGGCAGTTCATTCACTAGATCGACACGATTATGTCGAATCATGCAGAAAAACGAATCAGGCTATCACGGGCGGGGTAATGCGGCGGAACTGTGTTGCACATTCGTGCTGATTGGGAATGGGTAGTAGTGCTGCTCCACACGTGCATGACATTGCCTCTTTTTAACTGGACGCAACATCATCTGTATGTTACATTCGTTCCCTGAGAGCAAATCCAGTAAGCTGCGCATTCCCGAGACTGAAGTCTGATGAGCAATATTAGCTTCATCGTGATTTCGTCCAAGTTCACATATGCAAGTTTGGGTTGGTATCAATAGCGTCATGCAAGTTCCGGGACCTACCTCATGATATCTCTTCCGGCAATGGCATCGTGTACGCGTAGCCTTTGTATCCTCCTGTTTGGCTTTGAAATCAGTCACTACGTCGTCAGTCTGCGAGTCTCTTGTCTCCAGCTGATTTTCCATTGCCTGATGGATTCCCACGTGACCGAAACCGCGGAAGCAGACAGAACCAAGAAGCAACCTGCAGCCAAACGTTATACCCATCGTTAGGGCTAGCTCTTGCAGTTGGCAACCACGATGGGCAGCCATATGTCGTGTGAGTTCCGGCATTCTTCGGCACCTGGTCGTCGAGATGTGTGTTGAAAATCCCGTCTCTCTCAAGCGTCGGTTGCCGAACTGAGCCTCGTCGTGGCGGATGACAGTCACAAGGGCAGCCGGCAAATTGCGCGCGATAGTTGCAGCAGGACTGCCCATGGTGGATGTGGTTTCTTTCGTTCAGCTATGTTCTAAACGTTCCTGGAGTGTGCTTTATTTACTTTTGGCATCTTGTTTGGGCCATTTCCTTGTGGCCAACTCCTTTGGTTTACCTCTCCTCCGGCACAACTTCACCACTACATATCAACAGCATGCACGCGAGAGACCATGATTGATATCCATCAAATGTAATTTGGTTTTATACAATGTTTCTATATGTACACGAACATATGTGTAACCCCTGAATCAGAGGACAGGCGACTCGTTCATCACGCCAGGCTAATCCTCCCCATCACCTGCAGAATCCTCTCGCAGATTCACTTAAACGCAGCTGTCGCTGCCAGGAACAAAGGTTCCATCAGAGTTCTCGCAGCCGCACTCGCCGGTGTTGGGGTCCTTGATGCATCCAGCGCCCTCGCCGGAAGAAGTTCCGTTACCGCTGTTACAAACCCTTCGTCAGCAATCACGCGTCTCTAACACAGTTTCCTTCATGTGCAACTCATGCGTTGAATGCAAAAACTCACCTCCAGAAGAAGGTCCAGCAGTCCTCATCCCTCGTCATCTGCGAGCTCGTGGGCGGGGTGCAGGTGTACGCGGAGCAGGTGCCGTAGGGGGCGCCGTTGTTGCCGTCGTACTGGTGGTCCGTCTCGAAGACGGCGAAGGTCTGCGTCTTGGAGGTGCGCGTGTTGTGCGAGCACTCGGCGGCCTGGATGGCCTTGGACACCTTGGTCGCGCTGCAGCTGTAGACGCTCGGGCAGGCGCCCTTGGTGTTGGAGGTGGCCGGGTCGAGGGTCGCGGCCACGAGGGCGGGAGCGGCGAGGAGGAAGTAGGCGAACTGCATTTTGATTGTTGGTTTGGTTGGATTGAAGCGAATGTCTTGTCAAAAGAGTGTGTTGTGTCTGTGCGGTCCGGCCTGTGGATTGTTGAAGTGGTGATGATGGTAATAGCAAGAGGCACATATTGGATCGAAGGAACTTTGACTTTTATATCATCTCCCCCCGTCCCATGGATCGTCTGCCCGTTCCCTCCATTGCCGCCAAACAGCTCCTTGGTTCCGAAGCTGCGTAGCGTCGACATGTAAATTAGCTCCCAGGACCCGCCGCGTTTCGAACAGATTTCCATCGGGCCATTACGAGCAATCGGGTCGCGGCTCCGGCATGTCCATCCCGCCCGGCCGGGAGACACCCCTGCCCTCCCACCGCGGTCCGGACCAAATTTACGTAGTTTGTTGTGTTTTCGTCCGCTTTGCCTGTTTATATTATGTTTTAACACGAGGTTGGCAATTGCTTGAATTTTTTTCTCCTGAGTTTTCTGGAAACATTGCTCCCCCACAGTCTTCGACTTCTCTTGGTGGAGCCAACAGCAGTGTCTCGACCAAAAGCTGTGTGACGCGCCACTCCATCCAAGTTAATAAAACAAAACCAAACAACGCTCATCTCCCGAGACAACACCACCACCACCACCAGCACTCATCCTCGAATAATTGCGGTTGTTTCTTCTAGACCACCACGGTAGTTTGAAAGAAGCACAAATGTCTCGGAAAACCTGTCACTTCCCGCCTTCACGTAAGGGTCAGTCGTGCGCCTCCCCCCAAACCCATTGTGGTTCATCCCAATTCCCCACACCACGTCGCCAGCCCTGCTCAGGGGGGATTGTTGCAGCCGCAGCGGGAGATTAAAGGCGATCAGTGGGGTTTCCCGCTCCCTCAATCAACAGTGCAGCTGGGGTTCAGCCACTGCCGGCAGGTTGAGTGGTTGCTGACGACGCGCTGCAGCTTTCAATTCGAAGGTGCAAGTCTGGATGAGGGCTATTTGTCTACGCTGGAAATGGTGGCTGAGGGAAGAAGAAAGTAGCTGGCGGCTGCGGGAACGGGTAATGGCAGGTAATGTTTCTATTCTTGAGCTTCCGAAGCTTTTGAGTTCCCCTTTTCTTCCCTTTTCTTGACATTCAGGGAAAATTGTCTGGAGCTTGCGAGAAGTATGAGTTGTAACGTTGCAGGACTTTCCCCCTCTGTCCATCGAGCTACGCGCTGTCCAAGCTCCTGAAAGATTCGTGTCGTGCAGTTGCATTCAATCGCGGACGATGTTGAGGGCGGCATGGCAAGGCAAAAACAAGCTAGCCCAGCTCACCGGTCGCCCTATCTTGGCATCGCAGCTGAACGGGCACACCACCGGGCAACGACCAGACCTAGGCCAATCGAATCAAGCAATGGCATCGGACATTTTCATGTCGCAAGGTGCGGGGTGTCGCACGCAGCGGAGCATTTCTCAGTAGCCTTCCTCTAGGATTCTCGGTGAGCCAAGACGCCCGTCTCGGTGATGAAGCTGCAACCCATCCCGCCGGCTCTCTCTACATCCTCTTAGACCCAGTCCATCTCCCTCCTCTATCGCCACCTCTACCTCATATCAAGAACCACATTCGGCCCCTTCTCCCCTCTCACAAACGCCCTCAAATTCTCCCCCACGACCCTCCTGATATTCACACGCGTCTGGTCCGCACACCACGCCAGATGCGGACTCAGCGTCAGATTCACCCCTCTCGCCTCCTCCCCAAGCAACACGCTATCCTCCCCGCTACCCGCCGGCTCGACCTCGTACACGTCCGTCGCGGCGCCGTACAGCCGCCCCTCCTTCAGCGCCTCCAGGAGCGCCCTCTCGTCCACCGTCCCGCCGCGGCCCACGTTGACGATGATCGCGTCCGGCTTCATCAACGTCAGCTCCGCCGCCCCGATGAGGTTCTTCGTCTCCGGCGTGAGCGGGACGACCATGAAGAGCGTCGTCGCGCGGCGGAGGACCTCCTCAAAGGGCGTCCTTTGCTGGGCGATATCGCCGTTGGTGGTGTTGGAGCCGTTCGTGGTAGCGGGGGTGGAAGAAGGCGAGTCCTTGCGCGCCGCCACGAGGACCTGCATCCCCAGCGCCCTGCACATCCCCGCGATGCGCTGCCCGATCGGCCCGTACCCGACCATGCCGACGACCTCGTTGCCGCACGTGTGCGGCGGGCGGCCCTCGGCGTCGAGGAGGAGCGAGGACATGCTGCCCTTTGTGCGCCACGGGTTCGCGTGCGCGGGGGAGTGGTCCATCATCGTGTTGTGCAGCGTCACGAGGCGGCGGCGGGTTGAGAAGTACTGTTTAAGTCAGCATTGGTGTCTTGATGATGAGAAAAGTGTGACGACTTACGAAGCCAAGCGCGTGCTCGGATACGGCTTCGACCGTCGCCTGCGGTGAGTACATGACCGTGACGCCGCGCCGCTTGCATTCTTCCAGGTCAATGTGATTTGTGCCCGTTGTTTCCGTGATGATGCATTTCCTGTGATGAACCAGTCAGCCTCACCCATCTCGTCCACCATGTTTCTAATCTCCTCGTCGAAAAAATTGCGGGAGAAGAACACTCACAAATAAGGCGCCTCCCCCAAGGTCTCCTTGCTAATCGGCACCGTCGTTGTGATCAGAATGCTCGCCGGCCACACCCGCGCCGCAGCGACCTGCGGCTCCGACGGGCGCGTGTACTCGTACCCGATGACCTCGTGCGTCAGTTCACCCGTGTCGACCTCCGGCAGCGCCACGTGGATCGTCTCGAGCTTGACGACGACGTGGTGCGTCGCCGAGGGCAGGCTCGCGGGGCGTTTTATCTCTGTTGCGGGGTCGGACATGGTGTTGCCCCCGTTTCGACTCCTCGTCGTCGTTTGGGATTCTTGAGATTGGCTAAAAGCCAGACGAAAAAGATTGAGCTGTTGGGAGTGTATGGCTCTAATGAGGAGTTGGGTTGACAATCTAGATGTGATGAAGTTGACGCAAGGAAGTTGGTGAGCTCTGGGAGCTTGGGCGCACAAGGTGGTGGGGGCGGGCCGTTATGCAAGATGGAGGTTACCACTTTCCCTGTCTGAAGATCAAGAAAGAAAGTCCTCCATAAAAAGAGGCATCCAATTGAGAAAGACAAAACATTGACTATATACCGCGACATGAGGGGAAAATGCCATGTAGGGTCCTCAACCCGACACCACAATATGTCTCCCGCTCCCTATCACACACGCTAGGCCCCGCGGATCCGACAACCGGCGGGCGGGGGGCACCAAGATCGGCCCTCCGCGCATGCAACCCGTCCACCGCAGGGCGCGGGCGGCACTTGATTCCTGACATCTTGACATTTCGCACGTCACGCCAGCAAGCACGCCTGCGGGAAGGATCCCAATCCCGGGGTCATTAGCGGCATCGATACGAAGACATC